ACTTGATTTTTTAAAAAACTCTGAACCTTATTTTTTATGAAAATTTTAATAATGTTGACAGTTACTTTTCATATTATGTAATATTTGTGGTCGCTTCCATAGTTCCCTACCTTCTGATAGGTAAAGAGAGGACCCAAGTCTTAGCTTTTAAAGTTGTCTTTCATTGCGGGGCCAATCTTATTCTCATTTGGATTCCTTTTGGAATTTATTGGTTTTTCCATAGTTACCATGTATGCAAATTTATGGTCTGGACTTGAAGATGCAATAAATGGTAAAATGCGTTTTTTTTTTCTTCAAAGAAAAATTGTACATTGAGTATAGTACAATACTCAATATAGCATATTTACTATACTTGGCTTATTATTTTCATGGTCCCCTTTATGTGGGATGGCTATACTGTTAAGTCATCAAGGCCAGAATACTTAGAATTAATGTTTCCTTTCTCTTTTCCCTGTACAACATATAAATCAATACATTATATACTTTTGCTTATTATATATTTCTGCCTTAAGTCCTCATACTTGTTATTTAGAATTTTACAGTGTTTTATATTGGCTTTTCCACTTCTAGTCTTCATTTTCTTCTAGCTGATCACTTCTCTGTACCTGGAGAGTTTTTCTGAGTTCTAAAGCTGATCTTATTATTTCCTCTTTTTAAATTTTCATATATATATATATTTTTATTATGTTCGAGTTAGCATTGACAACTGCTTTTCATGCACCTTTAACTTTTTGTCTTTGTTAATTTTTTATGACCTACTGCTTGGCTGTAATTAGACAACGTTGCCATTACCTGCTGGATAATATATTTTCGCATATGGTCTTCTAGCATGGTATTTCTTCATTCTGCAGTGGTTACCCTTTCTATTTCTCTTTATTTGGTAAAGTTGTATTGGTCTTTGTTTTTGTTTTGTTTTGTTTTGTTTTGTTTTGTTTTGTTTTGTAGAAAGAATCTCACTACACAGTTCAGGCTGGCCTTAAACTCACTATGCATTCTAAGCTGGCCTTGAACTCATGGCAACCCTGCCTCAATCTTTCAAACGCTGTAATTACAGGTATATGTTGCCATGCCCAGCTTATATTTGCCTTTTAAGGCCCCCGTTTGATATCTTTTCTTCTGTGAAGTCTTTCCTGAAACCCCTCCAAACAGATGAAATTTTCTCCTTTGTGCAACCATTGTCCTCTGTATTTATTTGTACCATCATATTGTACTCAGTTACAGAACTTATTTGCCTGTTTGTTTCTGTTAACAGTACCGTATGAAGTTCATGGGTTAGAGGTACCATGTTTTCCATCTCTCCATCTGTCTGTTCTCTCTCTCTCTCTCTCTCTCTCTCTCTCTCTCTCTCTCTCTGCCATCTAGGGATTGAACCTAGGACCTTTACGCTGAACTACATATATCACATCTCCCTTATTATCCCTTATTTTTTTTTTTTTTATAATTTTTATTTTGAGACATTTTCTTGCTAAGTTAACTAAGTCTGAAATCCTTCTGCCTTAGCCTTCCAGAGTTCTGGGGTTAATGAATACCCAACATGCCTAATTAGTATTTCTTATATATCCACAAAGCTTACTGCTACTAAACAGATATTCAGCATATATTTTACTGAAAATGGTAGTACAGAGAAACATGCTATATGAGGTAGGCAGTAAGAAGAGGCTTTATAAAAGAAGAATTTTAGGTGAGTTTTACAGGAAACTGTTACTTTAAAGAGGGGGATGTCATCAGATAAAGAAATGGAATAAGATATAGAAGTAGGAATGGGAGGTAGGATCTGAATCAAGTGAAAGATTTATGTTGGAGAGTATTGATAAGTACACTAAAAAAATTAGGTTCAGCTTTCATTATGGTAGAATTTAAATGATAGATTATGGAGTTGTTTAATACTTTCCTCCCAACCACATAGTTCACCTTATGCCTGATCTACATGATGAACATTGTGGTTTATGAATAGAGTGGCTATAATTAGTAGGAGTGTTATAGGGAGAAAGTAATTATTTCTTTTTAGGTATTTTGGAATTGTGGTGCTAGTAGAAAATACAGTAATCATAGGAGATGGAAAATATGTTACTGGATCCCCGGAGAGAGGAAAAACTCACAATAGAGAAGAGGAAGAGCTGAGGGAGAACTTCTATATAATTTCTAAATATTAGGAAATCAGAATAACAAATATGAGAGACACTTAAAGGAAAGGTGGTAAAACATGAAAATCATTCATAAATATAATACACAACGAGGGAGATAAAAAATGCTTTCTAAAGTCTTAGTATTATTTTTATGCTTTGTACCCTTCTCCCTCTAACCCAGCACAGCCGGAAGAGGTTACTTAACTGCTTCCGTGGCACATTCTTATGAGGGTTGCCTTTGAGGCATGGAAATATGGTCCTGGTGAAACTCAAGAGCATGTTAGGAAAGGGTTCTGAAGGGATTTTATTGAATATTTCTTGTGCATTGTAATGTCATCTTTTCATTTTAATCTGTGCTATATACATTTATATATTTATATTTAGCCTTCATCACTTCTGACAAATTTCATGACATATTTTTCAATAAATAATGATTTCATTTATATCCATAATGATAGTATTGGAGTGTTTTATTGCTCTGACTGCACTTTAGTATTTCCAAGTTGCCCAATTTCTACTTTCTGTATCTTCTCCATGTTACTCTTTTATGCATTGGGGAACTCTTGATAGTTCTGGCAGAGACTTCAGATTCTGACAGATCTTGAGTGCAGCTTGAAATACTTTAATTTTTAGCAAAGGGCTCACTATATCAATTTACAGATTTGGCCCAAACTGCTTTGCAGTCTTCTAAAATTATAGGAAAGCCAGATGCCAATTAAGAAAGAAAAAGAACCATAGAAAATATGAAATTACACTCATGGAATACTTCTTCAGATCTTTATCATTTCAGGTTTAAATGATAGAACTTAGTGTGGCTCCTCTTGATGGTTTTTGGTACGCGGACAGTATTTTATTGATTGCGAAAGAAAAGTAATAAATTTGGGATTTAGTAAGCTAAGACCTATTTATGAAAGTGTTTGATTTTGGTGTAATGAAAAAAGGTAGAATTTAGGAGTAAGTAATCATTTTTTAATTGAGTGCTTGCTTTTTAAATATGAACGCTTTTTTATGTTTGCTATTCCTTTGTGATCCCCATAATTCTTGAGTTTTGTTTGGGTTTGCATTGAATATAGGTGGAGAAGAACATCTTACTTTTGAGGTTAATAGTATTAAAGAATGTGCTATTTAATTTGGGGCCTCAAGTAAAATACAATACTTGGAGGGTATATTTGTCTTATATAAATAAAAAATTAAATGTTTCAGGGTACCTTCTCATGTGTTTGTTGCTGAGGTCATGTATTTTATGTAAGTCAAAATCAAAATATCAATGGATAATATGCTGAGAAACAAGTTTGTTCATTGATTCAGATCTCTGGAATGTAGATTCTTTTCATTTTCTTGGCAGAAGCTAGCTTGCATAGTTTAAGTTTTTCTCTGTTCTAACAAATTGTTTCATTTGAGTAGTGCCTGAACTAACTTCTTGTATTTAATATTTATCTTGAATTCCTTAGTCTCATTGGAAAGATTTGGAGATACTGATTTTTCTTCTGAACTAATTCTTATTTGTACCAAGGAGAAATAACATTTATTAAGGAACATATATTTGGTTAGGTCAAATGTTTAAGCTTTGTTTCTTGACGAGAGAGAGAGAGAGAGAGAGAGAGAGAGAGAGAGAGAGAGAGAGAGATTCATTAGGAAATACATTTGGAATATGGTCAGTTTAACCAGATTAGGTAAATTTCTTTAAAATAGTATGACAACCAGCTTTTATTGTGTAATATATATTGTATATCTACAGCACAACTATATGGTATAGAATATTTTCCATTGATTTGGCCACAAAACCTTATTTTGGGAAGTGTTTTTGTCATGGTTTTAGGAGGGACTGTTGGTGAATTGATCTGGGATTTAGCTTTTGAATTACCCCTCAAGTTGTGATTTTGAAAAAAATCCTTTCCAATGAAAAAAATCCTGTTTTTAACTTCAGATGTCTGAGTGGTGACTAAAGTAATTTCAAGCTGAAGTGTGTGGCTTAACACTTCTATTGTTGACCTTGGATAGTAACATCTCTTTTTATCTGTTGAAACCATAGTATAATTTCAGTCAATTTTGTTAGGCCAAGGGGTCATACTTCCTGTTCTGTATAAGTTCAAAAGAAGAAACCCTTTAATTCTCCTTCTCATAAGTCACAGTCATAAGATCCTTTTTGAACTGTTGGTTCTAATCATACTATGGGGAAAGAAGTCTCTCAAGATAGTTCATCCTCCTGATCACATTTTATAAGTTTGATATATCCATATAACTTTTTAAGTACCCTAAGCTTAAATGTGTCAAAATTCCATGCTCTTCTTCTTCAACTATTATGCTTTCAGTATGTTATAAGAGATAAATACTAGGCATTTGTACTAATCTCATAGCTACTTAGTTGCAGATGGATACATTTCATTTTGTGGTGATTAAGTGGGTATATTTGAAAGTCTTACAATAATGTCTTAACTTGGAAAGCAAGTTAAGGTGGGAAATTTTTGAGGTTAAAGTATAAACATTAGGATGTTTAACTTGGCTTTTGGGACCAAAGGTTTATATCTGTTGGTTGTGGTGGCACACACCTGTAATCCCAGTACTAGGGAGGCAGAGGTAGGAGAATTGCCACAAGTTCTATGCCAGCATGGGCTACATAGTGAGTTGAGGGTGGCTTGAACTAAATGGTAACACCCTCTCTCCCCAAAACAAATAAAGACACACATACATATATAATACTTATATATAGTAAGCAAGCAAACTTGTATTAATGAATTTGGTTGAATATTTTCTTGAAGCTACTCATTTCATGAAAATTAAAAATTCATTGAAAGCTTAATTAAGTTTTGTTTCTTTTTTGGTGTGTGTGTGTGTGTGTGTGTGTGTGTGTGTGTGTGTGTGTGTCTATCCTAGGCTCAACAGCAAAGAAACCTGGATAATATCGTCTTGCAACAGCCAAGAATAGGTAGCAAGAGAAAATCTAAGAAAGATGCGTACACAATCTTTGATACAGAGATGGAAAGCACTAGCCCCAAGTCTGAACAGGATTCAGGAATTCTGGATGTTGAAGATGAGGAAGATGATGAAGAGGTAAATGATATTTGGACTGGAGAATTGAGGCCATTTTTAAATATAGTAAATTTGAGATGTGAATTTATTCATATAATTTTCTGTGATCTGTCTATTAAATCACTTGAAATCAAATGAATCCTAATTTAACGAAACTGAAGGTATTTTACATTTTGATTCTTTTGAAAGAATTTAGATTTTAAATATACTCTTACTTTTTTTCCAAGATTGAAAGCTTTTGATTCTGTACTGACTAGATACTACATTAAAGGAAGAATAGAGTTTACCTGACCCAGAGACTAAGGTTCTAAGGACCTCTGCAGAAACTCAGACAGTTCTTTGAGAATAAAGATTTGACATTAAGAAGTCACCAGGGATAAAACCAGATTCACCATTTCTTCTCTAGCTTTGTAATTTTAGAAGTCTTCTTCTGTGAAGTAAAGATAGTAGTTTGTAAACTATGTCCATACAGGTGTCTGTTTCATTATAAATTACTCTTCCCTGTTGATTTCTGCTATGAATTACTACTGTCAGTGTACCTATTCTTAGTATTCTTCTTCTTTTTTTTTTTTAAAATCAAGCTGGCTATGGTGGTATATGCCTGTAATCCCAGCATTTGAGAGGCTGAGGCAGGAGGATTGCCTCAAGTTTGAGGCCAGCCTGAGTTACATAGTGAGTTCAAGTCACGCTGAACTGGATAGCAAGATCCTGTCTTACTCCCTCCCTATGAAACTGGAGTAGTTTAAACTGGAATTAAAAGCAAATATCCAAATTTTTTGTCGATCACAGAAGCAATTAAATTAAACATCTGAGGGATTTTCACATGTGTAAAATAGTATATTCCTTTATATAGTTCTCTATATTGAGGGGATACTTTTTTTTTTCTATTTAACTGAATGATTTTACTTACCATTTTAATTAAAATTTATACTTTAGTAGGATGTTTATTATGTAAATAGGTACATTAATAGCAGAGTTTGAAAGTTTCATTCTATTGCTTATGATACTTGGGAAAATAAGAACTCTTAATACCTCTTAATAAAGCCAAGAAAAATCTTTTGAATGTTACTTAATGGCTCACATTAGAGTAAAATAACTCACCATTTGACTGGTAATTCATGGAGTTCTAAGGGGGCAGAGGAAACTTGGTTCTCTTGAATATTTTCTAGGATTTTCTCTTTTTGCCTGCAGGGACTGGAATATTAGGATATGGATCCATCTGGGAGACCAGACTGTCAGGTATTAGAGACATTATAGGTGATCATTTATTATAGTAGAACAATAAAACATTGTTTCAAGAAAGATCAATTAGTGTTTTTCTTACTTACTGGGTGTCCATCAAAATTTAAAATTATACTATGGTTTATGAACATGGAACTTAGACATAATTTCCATCCTAAGGTTAGAAGATAATATCAAATAATGAAATATATACCCAATTTCATAAATATCATTGTGAACCTTGTGGATAAGAATGGTTCCAGGAGTGGAGGGTACTTGTGGCTTTGGAGTGGACTTGGGGTTGCAGAGCTCATTCCTTATTACCAGTTCACTGGAGTTCTTGGCTAAGTCCCTTTTAATGTGTGTGCCTTCTTTGCTTTGTCCTATGAAGTCCAAAGAAGATCAAGAAGGTGGGACTAGTACATACATATTGGGAGTTTCTCATAAAGGTTGTATTATAAGATGTCTTTAGTAGTTAATATTTTAAAATAATTTCATATCCCAAATCAAATAATTTAGCTTAGGGATTTGCTGATTAAGCTTTTACAACAAGAATTCAACACTTTCACTGTCATCTAATGGCATCCTATTTTTTTTTTTAAATCCTACCTTATATTTATTTACTTCTCAGTTTGAATCTTCTTCAAGTGCACATTCTTAATCGCAAACCTCATGTAGAGAATTATTTATTTAGATGTCTCCAAACTGGTTTCTTGGCATAGTTCTTGCATGGTGTGAATAAATTCTTCAGATAAGGTCTTTCGTGACCCACTGTGACGTTCTGACCTTCATTCTTGTCATTCTTCAACAGACCTCATTTAGAGCAACGTAGCTTTTGGACTATTACCATTCTTTGTGCTTTTAATAGAAATACACTGAATACATGTGCATTGGATGACATTTTTAGGTTGTTTACTTTGACTTGATCGCAATGATATTTAACAGAAGATCATCAGTATGTGCAAGTATATATTACCAAAACCTCTATCAACTTATATTTCACCATCCACGAACTAATAACTACCATCTACTATAAACAAAACAAATCTGTGGAAATAAAGCAGTATTGAGAAGGAAATAGTTTGAAAAGCCATGTTTTATTCTTTGCTTCTTGGTTACTTCACTGCTTTGCATTCTTACAATATATTATTACTACTTTATTACATTCCTCATATTCTAGTTTGTATCTCTGTTAATTTGTTTTCAAATAGCTAGAAAATAGTGGTCAACATTATATTCATGGGTGAAGTAAGTGTTGACCACGTGACTGAGGTCCAGGTTAACTCTAGATTGTGGTATCTCTTTTGAAATAATGGAATTGCTAACTTATACACAAATGTCACATAACAAACCTTTGTGGATGTTTTGATTGTGGTATTATAGTATTTCTGAGGTAATAGGCTTACTAATTCGTGAAGACTGCAACAAAAAATACTAATAGGCCAGGAAGATTAAAGAATAGTATATATTTTTTCATAATATTGGAGGAAAAGTCCAAGATCAAGGTCCTGACATGGCTCTTTTCACCTGCTGCACGTTTTCCTGTCTTATAGGTTCCTGCCTTCTAGCTGTATCTTTGCACAGCTTTTTGCATGCGTATGTCTCTGGCATCACTGTGTATGTCTGTTCATAAGAACACCAGTCCTGTTGACTTCCTTAATCCCTTATTTATATCTTTAAAGATCTGTGTCCAAGTACAGTCAATTGAGGATTAAAAATTCAATATAAGAATTTTTGGAGGAGACACGATTCAGTTTATAACACAAGGTGACTAGAAAGTACACAAAGAAGTCTTGTATTTAGAAAGTACAAGTTCTGTTAGCTTTGTGCTCTTATAAGAAATAATGTAAATTTCTCTAAGTATACTGTTTCTTATATGTAAGATAGAGACAGTTATGTCAAATTGTTTGCTAAAGTGGTTGTTCTGACTTTTAATTCAAAATTTTAAATGTTTATTATAAATTTTTCTACATGAAGGTAACAGAAAATGAGGATCTTAGTAAGTCATCTTCATTAAACTAGAGCTTTCAGATTGGCAACTCATGAGCTTTCAGATGAGTCATTAGCCTACATAGTGTTTAAATTAGTTGCCACTAACCACTGGGAGGAATGTATGCAATGTGTTAATTATTGAAACTGTCCTACCAATTTGATTTGAAACTGTCTCGTTGCTATTTGTTTATCAATAAAATTATGGAAAAAAAATAAAAGATTTAAACAAAAAATAAATAAATAAATTAGTTGCCACTATAGTTAGCTTACTGTTGCTGTTGCAAAATACATGATGTAAATAGCTTAAGAGGAGGAAATGTTTACTTTGGTTCACAGGGTTAGACCATGACTGGCTGGCTTGATTGCCCAACAGCCTGTAGAGACGAAGGATGTTATGTGTGAGGAGAGCATGGTGGAACAAAGTTATTCAGCTGATGACTGCTGAAAAGCAGAGTAGAGAAAAAGGACCAAGACTCAGAATATCACCATTAATGGTCCACTCCCAGTGAATTAACATTATTTTGCTAGGTCTTACTTCCTAAGAGTTCTGTCATCTTCTCATAAGACCACAACCTGGTGACCAGAGCTTTAGTATATGGGCTGTGGGAGGACATTTATATGACAAATTAACTTTTAAAAGCAAGATGTGGTTGTGCATAGATGTAATTGCAGCCCTTAGGAGCCTAAGGTAGGCGAATCACAAGTTTGTCCCAAGCTTAGCCTGTGTTGTAAGTTGAAGACCAGATTGGACTATGAATCAAGATGCAGTCTTAAAAAAAAATTGAAATTCATATGAAAATCTGGACTTCTAACTTAATTTCTTAACTTCTTAGTTTTAGTATTGCATTCACCTTGAGTAGCAATACCAACAGTTGATGAGTTTTACAGTAGAACATTAGTGTGTGGGTTTTTTCCCCCACTACTGTTGTTGAACAGAACACCTTCATTCTGAGCTACATCACTAGACTTTCTTATTTTTTATTTTGAGTCAGAGTCTCCCTCAGTTGCCTAAGTTAGGTGTAAACTTGAGATCCCTTTGCCTCAGCCTCCCAGAGTACTGAGATTGTAGATGTAACTTCCATGCTTGGCTAGAGAACATAGTACTTTGTAAAAGTGAATAGTCCAGATATTTCATAGACAAAGTATAACAATTACAAGAATACAGTTTAAAATGCTGGCCTATTTCACTTATTCTTGATACTCATCAACCTCTGTAGGCTCTGAGTATTTTACTTGTATTCTTTACAAAAAATTACTTATTATTAAACTTATAAAATGGTTCACTAGAAATTTGAATTTTACCATATGTAAAATGCCTTGACACTTCCTTCAATACAAAATCAGGCAAACTGGAGACTATTTCTGCATATAGTTGGAAATATGTCCTCAGAATAGTTTCAAAAAGCAAGATTAAGTCGAATTATACTTGTATAATTTTGATAGATAAATTATAGCTTGTTTTTATATATTATATTCTAAAACTCATTCCCATCCCAATGTATGAAGTGCTTATTCTTTATTCTTAATAGATTTTTTAAGCTTTTCAATATTTGCCAGTCTCATAGAGAAGAAATGTTATCTCTGTATAGTTTTAATTTGCATCCTTGTTACTGTTGGTAAAATTGAGTTGCCTTATAATTCTGAGAATACATATACATGTACATATATTTTTTTGTGGGGGAGGTCAACTGCTTGTGTCTTTTGTTCATGTTTCTAAAAATATGATTTTCTTCTAAATCTTTCATTTTTATAAATCCTATTATAAATTCTGTTAATATTAGGGCTATTACTGTTTTTGGTTTGTTTTT